TGGGCGGGTTGTCCCTCGCTGCTACATTCTGTTAGGCTATGGATTACAAGAACAAATGTAGTTGAATTGAACATCGGGTGAGTTACACGTTCCACTATGCCAAGATGTGATATGCAGGTGGTGATGATCACCCCAGGGTATGTATACGTTTAAAAAATTAAAATTAATTATATGTATACGTTTTCAATTTTTTATTTTTGATATGATCAAAATTTATATATGTTGAAATGATCATCAAAATTTATTTATTTTCAATATAATTAAATTTTTCAATAAATAAAATTAAACAAACTCATAAGAAAGAGAGGGAGAAAAACTCTAAAAATGTCAGTCTAACTGACGTTTTCAATGAAATGCTAGTTGAACCAACATTTTTAAAAAAAGTTAGTCCAATTAACGTTTTTAGCGATTTTACATGGTTGTATATTATAAGAGAAAACGTCACTTGATATGACGTTTTTACATTAAAAATATTACTCCAACTGATGCTTTAAGTCTCAAAACATCATTTCAACTTACGTTTTTAAAAGGGCATGAATTTAAAAAATAGTTTGAAACCAACTCTCTTTTTGGTATAATTTTGAAAAACCCCATGAGTTAGGGTAAAACCTCCCTTCATTGTAGTTCCCGTCTTCTAGAACCCACATGTAAATGACACCAATTTGATATTAAAAATAACCTTTTTTAATTATAAATCTTCTATAACAGAAATATTCAACAAAAAAATTTCAATATCATGAATCTCAAAGATTCCATATTCGAATGTCATCGTTTTTCTCTCCTCTCAATTGAATAGTGATCTTGATATGCATGTAGTTTAGTACTGATACAATATTAAGGGTAGTTTAAATGATAATAAAGACGCGTTGTAAATTCAGATATTTTGAATTTGAATGTTGACAATCTTTTAGGTTAAGTCATAAGGGATTTATCATTCATAAATACCATAATCCCGACGTAGATAACCTAACCAGATCGAGAAAATGATTAATTGATGTGCGCGTAAACTGATCCAAATATTCCTAACTATTGAACAAAAAATAAAAACCATTATAAGAATAAGGGCCTTTGTGACAAATTTTTTACGACGACTGTGTTTGCCGTCACAAAAAATTTGTTTGTGTTAATATTTGTGACAATTATTTTTTTTGCCGTAAATAGTGTCATAAACTCAAAAGAAATTTTTGTATTTGAGACAGTTGTTTTTCCTGTCTCAAATAATATTTTATAAATTCAAATTTTTTTTTTAAATTTATGATAGCTACTTTTCCCGTCGTATAGAATATTCATAAAACATTAAAATGTTGTTTTAGATTAAAAAATATTTTATAGTTTAAAGAAAAAACACTCTAAAATTTTTTTTTGTTGGTCACAACTATTTTTTATGTTACAAGTAATATTTTATAAAATTACGTAGTTTAACGTTAAAAGACAATTTCTAGTTCAAAAAAAAAAATTAAACTTTACAAAGTTAATTTTTTATATCAAAATTAGAGGTGCCAAAATATGACACGATCCGTCAACACAACATAAAATTAGTGGGTTTGAATCTTCCTTAAGCCACCTGTTTAATAAGCGAGTGGGCCCGTCACAATACGATTATAAACGAATCAAGTATTGGTGAAACCAGGTAGAAGAAATGTATAAGATATGACTCTTTTATATACCATTTACATAATTGGACAAGCCGCTCAGAGATTTTTTTTTACTCAGAGAAATATTACATGGCCCTCTGTTGATGTATATTCTAATTTATTTTAGTTTTTTATTGTATATAAATATTATTTTAGTATTGTAATAATAATTTTATATTTTTTTTCAGATGTTATTGAGAGAATAGATGGTTCGGGAAGGATGTTCAATTTTTTGCATTAATTTCTTATACTGATAGATCGTTATGTTTTATAAAAGTGCATATTTTACATTTTATTTAACTCGTGGGATAGTTTTTTTGAATATGAAAATATTGCTATATTTTTGAAAATGTTGAATATATTTACTTTTGTGTTTATCTATATATTAAATTAGGTAATTGTATGGATAAAAATGAGTCTTTGATCTAATGGTACTCTTTACGTTGTGAAAGTTTTGTAAAAAATTGTATGGAATGTATATGTGCACATGATATATCATATTAGTTAGGAACGGTCCATAATAATTAATTTTTTTTTTTTGTGGCCGCATCTTTGTTGTTATAAATATATCTTATATTTTTTACGACAGCCAAATATGGTATTTGAGGCAGAGCTTTTGTCACCGTGATAAAAAAAAAATGTCGGATTTTTTGTAACAACTTATTTACGACAGGATCTTACCGTTGTAAATACAATTTGAGACAGACCGTTGCTACCGTAAAAACCTTTTGAGACCACACTTATTATAATGAGGCAATGTCGCCACAAAAAATATTTGTGATAGCAAATAGATTTTTTATGACAACACTTTACGTCCGTAAAAACTTTTTTTGCTTGTAGTGAACAGATATAGAATAATAGATTGCACTTAATGAATATTGTCACTTGCCACATATATGTAATTAGAAGATTTGAAGAGAAAATTTGCATTTATTTGTTATCATTCATCACTCGGAAAGGAGAATTTGAAAAGTATAACAACAAAATTTCAGGCTGGATTGAAACGAAAACCACAAACAAATAAGGCTATGAAAAAAAAGGTTGAATAGCATTTTTAATCAAGAAGTATATATTTTTTATCAGTTTAGTTCTTATTATATCAATTTTGTCAATTTGATCTCTAAAGTATTCAGTTAGTGTCACTTTGGTCCCTAATCAAACAATCCATTAAGTTTTTAATGAAAGTGACTATGTATCATTTTTTTAGACAATATCACGTGTCTAATACTTGATTATTCTGTTAAAAATTTAATGGTCTGTCTATGTATGAACCAAAATAACACGAATTCAATACTTTTAGAACCAAATTTTTAAAATTTATACAATAAAAATAAAACTGATAACAAATATATATTTTAGAGATCAAAAATAGTACTAACAAAAAAATAATGGAACACATCCCTAATTATGTTGGTTTCTTCCTTCTAGGTTGCATTGGTTGTGACTACGCTAGTCTACAGCTGCCTTCACTTTCTCAATCAGATTAGCAGCGTCTTGAACAGTTGCAATATTCTCAACTCCTCCTCCAATCAACGCACCATACTCCTCTTTCAGAGCCCTCATTATTTTAACCTGTTCTCAGAATTCATTGTAAGCTCACTTTTGTCTTTAACCTGTTCTCAGAATTCATTGTAAGTTTACTTGTGGAATTAAATTAAATAATAAATTAGGTGCTAAATAATTAATTCATATTTTAATTATTATTAGATTTAATTATTAATTTGAATTTATCATTTATTTAAGTATATTTCTGACCTCTTTATGCATTTGTACATTTAATTATTTATTATAAAATTATTATTTATTATTTTATTAAATAGATTGATTAGATCACTTATAATATTATATTATATTATTCCATATCAAAACATAAAATATAACATATATTTAACCATGTAATTCGATCTAATAATTACATGTCTATAATTATTTAACATGTATAGGACTTTACTTTTTTTATATAGATATAGGAAATTATATGGAACTGTACTATTAATAAATGAATTAAAAAGAATTTAGAAGTACTTATAAAAGAGTCTAAAATAAGTATAAAGTTAAATAAGAATAAAAAATAAAAAATAAATAAAAGAATATATGGGTATAAATTGATTTTATTATAATAATTAGGGATAAAATAATAATAGAAAATCAAAAAAATTTCAATTTATAAGTAATATAGATATTAATTTTTATTTGACTTGCAATTTATTTTAATTTCTTTTATACACACTTCTAAATTGTTTTGAACTCATTTATTAGTAATATAGTTTTACATAATTACCTATAAGTATATAAAGAAATAAATTTCATGTTCAGTTTTATTTTTTGGTATATGATAATATAATAATATTATAAAGCAATGTAATCAATCTATTTAACAAAATAAAAATTAATAATTCTATAATATAATTATATATGCAAATGCGTCAAAGAGATACCTAGATAAATGACATATTATGTACTCAAAAATTTATAAAAATAAATTAATAATTAAATTTAATAATAATTAAAATATGAATTAGTTATTTAATACTTAATTTATTTTTTAATTTAATTATACAAATAATTCATATTTTTTATAAAAAAAAATATTATTTTTATAAAAAAATAAAAAATATTTTGTCCAATGGTACTCATTCCGCTTGTCTTGCAAAATCTTTACTTTATTGAGATTATGAGTTCAAATCCTCATTCCCATTTCTCTTTCCAAAAAAAAAAAAAATATATATATATATATATATATATATATATATAAATAATATTATTTAAATTTATTTATTTCACACACCGTGTATTTCTAATATAGATACAAAAACAAAAATTACCAACTCTTCTTTATCTAATAGAATAATTTTCCAAATGGAAGAAAGGGCGATTCACCTCACTTTATCTAATATAATAATGCTGAGCATCGAATATTTACTATTTATTGATGATTTTGTTTCCAGGATAATAGAGATACGTGACGAGTTCAAATCTTGACCAAGGCTGGCTAAGTTTGGCATCTATTTACTACTCTGGAATCGGGAAAGGATAGGACCCCAAAACAAACCCCTCTCTCTCTCTCTCTCTCCACACTCCAGCTCTCCTCCTCCATGATGATTCATTCACACATTAGATTCAGAATCTGCCCCACGAAATTCTCTCCCTCTCCCTCTCCCTCTCCCTCTCCCTCTGTGTGTGTGTGTGTGTCTCTCTCTATGTGGGATTCATAGTTCTGCAATTCCAAATCTGATCTCACCATCTCTCTGTGATCCTTTAATATCGATGGCACCAGATTCCATCCCCTTCTCATCTTCTCTCTGACGCACACACGCCAATAACACAGAGAGAAATCCAATCAGACAACCCTTAAACCTCTTTAGAATGGCCGAAGAAAGAGTAAGGATTACAGAAGAACAACAACCAACCATGACAGCCGCCGGCGCCGCCCCTCCACAAGGCCAGACCACAGCCCAAGAACACCCCACAACCAACTCCACCACCGCCACCGTGGACCACAGAAAACTCACTCTCATCCCCCTCATCTTCCTTATCTACTTCGAAGTCGCCGGCGGCCCATATGGAGAAGAGCCGGCCGTCCAGGCCACTGGTCCTCTGTTCGCCATCCTCGGCTTTCTCATCTTCCCTTTCATCTGGAGCATCCCTGAAGCCCTAATCACCGCCGAGCTCTCTACCGCCTTACCCGGCAACGGCGGCTTTGTGATCTGGGCTGATAGAGCCTTTGGCCCCTTCTGGGGCTCCGTCATGGGTACTTTAAAGTTCCTCAGTGGAGTCATCAACGTTGCAGCTTTCCCAGCTCTGTGTATAGATTACTTAAAAAAAATCTTCCCCATCTTCTCTTCAGGGCTTCCTCGATATCTTGCCATTTTGGTCTCCACTTTAGTCCTCTCGTTTGTAAACTATACAGGCCTAACCATAGTTGGCTATGCTGCTGTTTTTTTAGGTTTAATATCACTTGCACCATTTATTCTAATGTCTTTAATTGCAATACCCAAAATTCAGCCACACAGATGGATCAGTACAGGCCAAAAGGGTGTGGAAAAAGATTGGACTTTGTTCTTCAACACCCTCTTTTGGAACCTCAACTTTTGGGACAACGTCAGTACTATGGCAGGTGAAGTTGACAACCCACAAAAAACCTTTCCGGTGGCTCTATTTTCTGCAGTGATTTTCACTTGTTTGAGCTATATAATTCCGCTTTTGGCCGTCACTGGGGCTGTATCGGTTGATCAGAATGATTGGGAAACTGGTTTCATGGCCGACGCAGCAGAGATGATCTCCGGCAAATGGTTGAAGTTCTGGGTTGAAGTTGGGGCTGTTTTATCATCAATCGGACTCTTTGAAGCACAATTAAGCAGTTGTGCTTATCAGCTTTTGGGTATGGCGAATTTGGGGTTTTTGCCAAAGTTTTTTGCACATAGATCGAAATGGTTCAACACCCCTTGGGTGGGGATACTATTATCAACTGTGATGGCACTAGCCGTTTCTTACATGAATTTTACTGACATTGTGTCTTCAGCAAATTTCTTGTATAGTTTGGGTATGTTGTTAGAGTTTGCTTCTTTTCTTTGGCTAAGGAGAAAGTTCCCCACAATGAAGCGACCTTACCGCGTTCCGATGAAGCTCCCAGCGCTGGTGATCATGTGCTTGATTCCATCTGGTTTTTTGGTGTATATAATGTCGATTGCAACCAAAGTTGTTTATTTGGTAAGTGGGTTGATGGCTGTAGCTGGGATTGGATTTTATTTCTTGATGAAGGTTTGCAAGTCAAAGAGGTGGCTTGAGTTCAGCAACGGTGATAGTGAGGAAGACTTCTGAGTACCACTGGACAATGGTGTAATTGTAGTTGAATTTGAGGGGTGCACTTAGCATTCCTTTTTCTTTCTTTTTTAAAGAGCAAAAGTTCAGTTGGTACCGACTATTCATTGATGCTATTTTGTTTTTTTAGTGGTTGAAATTATTGGTGTCAAAATACGAGAAAAATTCGTTAACAACACGAATATCCTTCTTAAGTCTCTCATTTTATAAATGAGTGGGCACGATAAAATACGACACAATTAGAAAATAAATTAGATTTAAATAAAGTCAATCAAAAAAATTATTTTATATATCAATTATACACGATTTATATATAATATAAATTTTATATAATATGATTCGTTAGACATAAATTAATAAATAAAATATATTTTAACACAAATTTACTAAGATTTGACATAAATCTGTTTCACTCGATAAGATTAACAAGTGTAATTGAAATCTTAGGCAATTTCACTCGTGACGTTTGATCCACCTTTGTCATTTGGATAATGCTATTTTTGTTTCTAAATGTAGGGTGTTCATCTTACTCTATATTTTGTAGAAGATTTTTTTCTCAATCGATCTTACTTAATCAAGTATACTATTCAAGCCGAATCTAGTCCAAAACAATCAAGTAGGAAGTTGGGTGGAAAAATCAGGTGAACACATATTTTTTAATTATTAATTTTTGAATTATTTTAATAATTCAATTAAATAACATATACTAATTAACCAACACCATGGATCAATAACACTAAATAAAATACAATAAATTTGATAATATATAAATAATTACAATAAAACATAGTAAAAAGATCATAAATATCAATACATCATAATTGCACAAATACAATTATGAAGAGACTGCCTCAGACTTGAGAGAAGCGAAGCGAGACATAAGGAGGAGTTGCTTGGGATTTTTAGGTTTTTTTTTTGCACATTAACATATATTTTTAAAAAAATATTAAAAAATTTTTAAAAAATATGTGGGTTAGATACGATAGTAATACGAAAATTTTGTGGTATTTCACATTCTAACTTGAATTTTTTTGGAATCAAAATATTTTCCGTTGACCTATAGATATTTTGCGAAACTCGATTATTAATGTCAAATAGAGTCGAAATATACAAATAATCGAAAATTTGTGAGAAAATTAAAAAGCGTATAAATTGAATTTGTTTTTTCTTGAAGTTTTTTGATTCATATTTTTATACGTGGTTGCATAGATATGATGAAGTAGAAAATCCTAAATTGATTTGAGTGGTTGAATATGTAAATTTCTTATACTTCAATGGATTTCCTACAAAGTAGAAAAAAAAGGGGAAAAAAACTGAACAAAACAGGGGAAAAAATAAATGAAAAGTCAAGTAGTAGGCGTGATAGTGTTGATATGAAAGTTTGTTTCTTTCTACTTACTCAGGTTGGGCAGATGAGATATAACCTGAAAGAAATGAGTAAAATAGTCACAAGATGAGTGCAGTTTGACTTAATAACTCTAATTTTGTCTAGTTTGACTATTTTTTTTTTGGGGTTAAACCTCACTTTTAAGCTAAGCTACATTTAGAAAATACAGCTTAGAACTTGTAATTAAAAGAAAGCCTACAAGGCTAAAAAGTCAACAGAGACTCCTCATAGGATATACTATTTCTTTCTCACGTTGCCAAGTTGTAGTTGTTCTTGAATAAGGAGCAATCTGGCTTGGAATGGAAGATCTTTATAATGGTGGCAAATCGTCAAAGCACTTTCCTCCACGCTTTTAGAAGCCAAAAAATCGGCTATCTTGTTTTCTTCCCTAAATTTATGGTGGATTTGAAAATCTTCCCCAGCAAGAATATGTCTTATTGGACCTAGTTGCAAAGATCTTAGAATTCGATTCTGTCTCAAACTTATAGTCTGACAAGCCCATATCAAGTATGATTTTCAAAGCATCTAGTAAGGCATTGCATTCTGCCTCTAGATTTGTACAAAACCCATAAAAGTTTGGAAACTGCAACGATAATTTAACCACTATGATTTTTACACTACAAAATCATACCTTGACAAGACAATCCCGGATTACCCTTAAACGCACTATCTATATTAAGCTTTAGCACATCTTCATTGGGAAGGTTCCAGCGAACCCACTTCAACCTCATCGAAACATCATCGACCTCTTTTCTAACTCTTATCTTATCCCATGTTGTTTAACTGAAAAATTACATGATAAAGATGAACTCCATATGAGTTTATTAGGTCGATCAGAGGGGTACACCTTAGAAATTTTAATTTCTTCTAGAAGCCCCTCATTTAAATCATCCAATGTATAATCCAAATTCTATTGACTCCCAGAAGAGGACACTAGAAAGCTGTGAAAAAGAAGAAGATCACCACTGCCCAACCAATTATCACACCAAAAATCAACATCAGTGCCTCAACCTACCAACATTCTTGAATTTTGGACCACCTCCTCAACCCATGGCTGCAATGATCAATAAGACTTTAAAGTGGAATTAGAAGCTTTCAATAACAAGTGTTTACTTTTAAGAAACTCAGTAGAAAAAGCTTTTGCTCGTAATGATTGGCCTGTAAGAATAGTCCACACTTGCTTCATATGAAAAGCTTTCACAACATCATCAAAACTCCTAATGCCCAAACCACCTTCCTCCGTAGGCAAAGTCATTTCGTTCCATGATACCCAATTAGGGCTGTTCATGGACCAGGCTGGGTTCGACCCGTGAAAAATTTTTAGGCCGGATTCGGATAGTGTAGGCCTAAGCCCACATTTGGACAAGTGATAGGTCGGGCCGGGCTTCGAGTAGGGGTAGCTACCCGCAGCCCAGCCCGTCACCTATTAGACGGGCTTTTGTTGGGCGGGCTTTGTGGGTGGACTTTTGTTGGGCCTGCTTTGGGCGGGCTTATTGGGCCATATTGAAAAATGTACAACTTTATTTAATTTTTTTGTAAATTATATTTTTGAATTAAAAGTATAGTCAATATCAAAATGGACAAAAATTAAATAATTAATAATTTTATTTATGAATAGAAGAAAAATTGCATCACAATAGAATAAGTACATTCTAACTAGGTTGACACATACCCACCTATCTATTATTTGCACAATTCTATCCATTAAAATCTTTTGTATATGAAAAACTAGAATATTTAATACATGAAAAAAATTCATCAGTCTTAATATCTAAATTTCTAAAACTTCAAATTCTGGTATTGGGAGATTTATTTTCATATTTTGATCTCTCGCCTCAGCGGCATACCAATCTTGAAGATACATAAGGGCTTCCACTATCTTTCCATCCAAACAACTCCTATGCTCATCAATGACATGTCCACCTGTACTAAAAGCAGATTTGGATGTTATAGTTGACATAGAAACTGTTAGTATATCACGAGCCTTGGTTAAAAAAATTGAAAACCTACTTTCATATTCTTTCCACTAGGTTAAAATACCAAAATCAGCATCTTCAACACTTATCATTGGAGCATTGTAATATTGTTGAAGTTCAGTTAACCTCCTAAATGTTGACATACCTTTTCTGTTCAAAATTGAAGCTAGCATAAATGTTTTATCTTTACCTTTACTACTACCAACAATATCACTAGAAGCTGAGGGGAATTAAGTGTACCACCATTCCCAAACGTTACATTATATTCATTAAAAGAATTCTCAAAATAATATTTTATATTATTCATGTGGTTCATATGCTCATCATCTAAGTTACCATATAAAAACATAAAAACACTTGTAAGACCAAATTTTTTAAATTGATGGTCAATTAACATACCAAAACCAATAAGTATAGGAAGTGGTAAAAAATATTTATTAAATTTAGATTGCATATTATGTAAAATAGTAAAAAAAATCGGGTTCATTACTATATAGATCAAAAAGATTAATGATTTGTACTATGAGATTTATGATATGACACATACATCTCATATGAAAAAAAACTACCTTCACATGGTAAAGTTATATAATATTTTAAATGACTTACAACCCCACTATTATTTGTTGCATTATCTAAAATAATAGTAAAAATATTGTCTTGAATACGATAAATTTGTAACTTATTATAAATAACTTCAAAAATAATTTGTGTACTATGATTATCTTCAATCCTTGTAAAAATAATAATTCTTTTTTACATAACTCAATTATCATCAATAAAATGAGCAGTTATACATAAATATCCTAATTGTTGGCAAGAAGTCCAAATATCAGAAATCAAACAAATTTTACTTTTAAAATTATCAAAACAAGCAATTAAATTATTTTTTTCTTTTACATAATATTTAATAACATCTCTTTGACATGCTTGACGAGAAAACTTTCAAAAGGAATGATTAAAACCACTTTGTAATATTCTTTTAAATTCAACATCGTCTATAAGAACAAATGAAAGATTTATTTTAACAATTCATCTAACAATTGCTTTTCTAGCAGATTTAGGTTCGTAACTAAAAGTGCTTAGTGTACTGGTACTAGCAGATTGTGATAACATTGTTTGTTTAATATCAGTTGACCTCTTAATAAGCATGTCTTTAGGTGTCTAGTTAAGTGACTAGTTCCATTTTTAGAGCCTCCAACAAAATCTTTTTTACAATAATTACATATAGCATTTTTTGATGTAATGACCTCATTAGAATTTTTAATTTTGATTTTCTCAAAGTGATATCAGACTTTGGACTTTTGTCTTTTATTAGATAATACATTCCCATAGAATCCATCACAGGCGGTGAAAGTGGATCATTTCCTTCACCCTCATCAATGTTCTCATTATCATTATTCAACTCAAGAATTTCGTTATAAAAAATATTTTGTGAATAAGATGAATTCATTACGTAAATTAAACTATAAAAATAAAATAAATACTTAAATTATATAAAAAAAAATTCTCACCAAATGAGAGTATTTGACAATTGTCACTTGTGAGTTGAGAGCAAATGAGAGTTTCGGTAGCTGAGTTTGAGAGCAAATGAGAGTTGTGATTTGTGAAGTTATGAAGTTGAGAGCAAATGTATT